GTGTGTGTGTGTGTGTGTGTGTGTGTGTGTGTGTGTGTGTGTGTGTGTGTGTGTGTGTGTATCTGAGAATGAGAGAGCAGGGGAGGCAAAGGAGACATTTAAATCTGTATTTTAAAAAAGCCTCCAGTGTCAATATTTTAGGAAGGATACTAACCCTGAGAAGACTTCACAAAAGGCTGTCTCACTGGGAGCCCCACTTGACCTACCTCACACAGAGAGATATTTGGGTTAAGGACAACAGTTCAGAGACTGTGGCTGTTTTGTTAATTCCAATGTTCACCTCAATTTCCTCACTCAAAGCCTTCCAGTGAAGTCTCTATTTTATCTATGATCGATGAGTTCTATGGACTAAGAGGATTGCGAAGGGAAGATAAGGCACGGAGGCATCCTTCATTCTTCCTGGAGGTTGTAAAGCAAGTCATGAGTGAAGCCTAGCAAATCATTCTCAGTAGATCTTTTCTTGGCCAGAGAACAGAGGAACAATTTGTCCTCATGAACTTATAAGTATTAAAAGAATGAAAGTGCTCACTTATTTTAGAAAAGGGAAGATACATAAATCTTTCCAAATGAACTCATTGTAAGAGGAAAAGAGAATAAATGAGGAAAAATGAGTTGACAATGACATTTAGATATGGGCATCAGTTTTTAATTTTTTAAAAATAAATATGTGGTAGAATAATACAAATGTTCTCACAGTGGTAAAGACATTGTCATGCTGTCAAAGCAGTGAATTCATAGTTAAGAGAAAACCCAAACATTGCATGGGCAAATGCTCCCAGGTGAGTCTCATCAACAGCCTGGTTTAAGGAAGCTTCCCCAAAACAGAATTCAAAAGTACAGAGCAGAAAAGAGCACAGGCTGAGGGGAAAGTTGCCCTGTTAAGGTTAATTAATTATTTCTTTCCAACTTTTCTGCAACTATAAATACTGGGAATGGATTCTTGCCCTGGCCAGCAGGGTCTTCTATGGGTCCTGAAGGGAGGGCCGGCAAATGAGAGGGACAAGAGACACAAAGAATGAGAGCAAGACAGGATGTCTGATCAAGATCCAAAATTTTATTTTCCTCTTAAGGCATATATAGGCGGGGGCAAAGAGGGGGTGAAATCAGGGAGGGGACTTTAATCATGGGTTGTTCAGTCAGCAGGGAATGTTGCTATGGGGATTATCTATTGTTGCCTAACTGCAGCTCGGTTACCTGATTTCTGACAAGAGGTTCTGGTGCTATGGAGACTTAAGCAAGACCTAGATCTAGGAAAAGAGGAGAGAAGCCCAAATATGGCAGCATGTATAATAAGGGTCACTTTGGCTTATGGCTCCCATCAGATTCTCACTGTGCCTGTCCTGACACACACTTTCTGCTGCTGTGCTTTTCATCAAGTGTTTTTTTTTTTTTTTTTTTTTTTTTTTTTTTTTTTTTTTCCTGAGTACTTGGGGAAATGAACTGTAATAGTCTATTCTTCATTAAATCTAGAACATTAAAAATAAGCCATTGTTTTAAATGAATATAAAGATATAAGACTGAGAAATGCATCTGTATCTCTTAGTTTTGGGGTAATCTTGATTTTTTTAAACTGAAAATAAAATTTTAATACAGTATAATCTGATTTTAATTTCCCTTCATCATAGATCCTCCCCAACTTCCCAACACAATTGAATCTGCATCCTTTCTTTCTCTCTCTCATTAGGATACAAACAGGCAACTAAAAAATAATGTTAATAAAATAAAATTAGATAAAATACAACAGAATAACAGAATAAAACAAAACATCTTGAACATTATTAAGGACCTGCCTTAATAATATTCTTCCCAGGGTCCCAGAAAAGGAGCTACAAATGGCAAGAATGATTTTCAGGAAATGAATCTAAGTACACCAAGCTCTTTGTCCGTCTTCTTTATTCCTCTGGGATAAAAATCCTATCTACACAGCTTCAGTTCTGTTCTCATGCCTAGCTCCTTTTTTTGCCTGATTTCTCTATATATTCATTCACTGTACCCTCTAAGTTCTATCTTAATTCTCTCATCTTAATTCTGCCTCATCTATGTCCTTCTCATCTCATTCTTACACATCTAGTACTTCCCCATCTGGCTCTTCCTCATCTTCCATCTCATCCTCAAGTTCTCTAGTCAAAATCCTCCTCTAAGTCTCCTTATACCTCTTAGTTCTCTCCAAGTCTCTCAGGTATTCAGTTTTAAACCTAAGCAATAGCAATCCTCTGGCAGAGCAAGGTCACCAGGCTAGAATCACTACTAGACTAGAGTCAGAAAGGCAGACAAGAGTTTTCCTCAGGTAGTCACCTTCAGGTTTTCTTTTACAACTATAAAAGGGAGTTGTAAAGGAAGAGGTCAACTGAGAGCTGAAATCGGTTAATATATGAGAAAAACAGAATTTATGTGCTCAAACTACATTCCTAGAAGTGGTGAGGTAAAAATGTTAGGAGCCTATAATGTTAGTAAGGCTGTATAAGAAAGGAGGATTTCAGCTTAAATGCACAAGAAGTTAAGCTATCTGCCTGATCTGGAGACAGGTGTTTCCGTACAAGTGTTACCTTGGTTTAGGAGACTGCTTGGCCTTGGATGCTTGATAGGTGTTTTAGATACATACACTGTTAGGAGTTCTTGGAAGCACACATAGCATATAAGAAAATCATTGCAGGAATTGGCTAATATATACACAAAAGCTAAAATATCAATAAGACTTCTAAGCCTTGGTTTGACCTTTGGAAAAGTCCTTAACCTTTCCAAGTAGCACCTTTTGTGAGAGTAGCTGAATTCCATTACATTTTCCTGCAGATTATAGCAAAAACAAATGAAGAAACAGAAAAAAAAAGAGACAAAGAAACAGCTCAAGAAACATCTAGGGACAACACACACACACACACACACACACACACACACACGCACACGCACACGCACACGCACACACACACACACACATTCTCACACACAGAAATCCCAAAAAACACAAAACCAAAAACTATAATATATAAAAAAGGACATGTAAGGTTAAAACGTAAACAAAGCCTTGACAAGCATTATGAGAAAAAAAAATTGATGCTCAAAGGAAGAATTATATAAAATATAGAAGATGGCCATGTCTCCATGATCTCTTTCTCTGCATTTTTGTTGGTGCTGTGTAGAACACCTACTGATTTTTATAAGTTGATTTTGTATCCTGACACTTTGCTGAAATGGTTGTTTCTAGAAATTTTCTGGCGGCAGTTTTGGAACATCTTGTGCATAATATCATATTATCTGCAAATAGGAGTAATTTGACTTCTGTTGTACTGACCACATTCCAGGGTAGGACCCACACCTGAGAGAATTTTCCAACACAAACCAAACTTGCAAAATTGGTGAGGTAAGGAAGGATGGAAGGTAGGAATAGGAGGAGAGACGGAGAGAAGGGAGAGAGGGCGGGAAGAAAGGAGAGATGGTCAGAAGGAGGGAGAGATGGTGGGAAGGAGGGAGGGAGGAAATCATGAAGAGTGATCTGGGAGGAGTTGGGGGATTAATATGTTCAAAATACATTGCATGAAAATCTCAAAGAATTAAAGACATTTAACTTTGTATAAAAAGTATCTCATCACTCCCACAGCTACTTCTTCAGTCTTCAAATTGACTTGATCAAGGGCCCAACAAAACTCTTCTGCCATCAGACCCATGAACTTCCTCTATCATGAGACTGGACTTCCTGCTCCAAGTGCAAGCAAGGCAACCTCTACTACAGCTGCAGTCTCTGGCACAATCCTACCAGAAAAATCTGTAAGAGCTCTTCCAGAGGGAATTTGATGAAGGGGCTTCCCAGGGACTGCAGCCAGGCCCACCTTCAGCACCCCAGTGGAGAAAGGCAACACTGCATAAGCTAAGCAGGAGCTCTAAACTGTGGTTTGGGCCCCACACAACCTCCTACCCCTCTAACCCTGTGGGAATGCAGAGACTGCATTAGGACAGAGTTTGTACTGGCTATCTACAGCTTACAGAGCAGAACTGTCAAGAAATGTCAAGAAATGTCTATGTGCAGGGGACTAGTGAAATGTCTATGTGCAGGGGACTAGTGAAAGTCAGTACAGAGGATAGCTCAAACCAGGACCAGAGGAATGGAGCAACAGACCAAAGAGACAAAGTGAGATTCAAATGATCACATTTCCTTATATTCCCACACTTCTCTTTCCCCATTACAGATATTATTTATCTGCCAGTGATTTCATTATCGTACACTTCACCCACCTCTGTTCACCAAAACAAATATGTCTTATCGATATATTGCAGAAAGTCAATGTAGAAGGCCAATACTGCCCCCTTCTGCTAACATCTTTTAAAGTTTTGCTCTCCTTGTTTTTCATTGTTTTCCTTCCTGTCCTTTTTTCTATACCCACTCCTATTACTGTTACACCTCCAAAAGACCAGAGGCTGGCCTGGTTTATGGTATCTGAGAACATATCCATACCCTGTTTTTAGTGTACCACTAACCAAACTCCCACAAATTTCACCTCTCCCCATTTTTTTTAACTTTGCCTCAGTAATTCTCACTTCTCCTCTACTTCCCATCCAACAAATAATAGTACTTGGTATTCTCACTAAGAATGCTTCTTTTTCTTTTATTTTCCTGTCCACCCATGACAAAATAACCAGTATATTGTTGCACACAGCTACATCAGCATCCTAGTGCCTTAACTCCCTAAGCTAATCAGTACTG